TGCCATCATCAGCACCTGTGGAACGTATATTTAGCCAGGCTGGAATGATTCTCACTCCTAAAAGAAATCGTTTAAGTGATGAATCATTTGAAACTTTACTTTTACTCAAAAGAACAAACTCTTTTATTGATGTAAATAAATTACTGTAAATAATGAGTTGATTTCTGAGTTTAATAAATTTATAAATATTTCAAATTAACCATGGTATGTACTTAGGTACTTATGTACTTATACTTAGTACTTATAAGTATCAAGCATACAATTTGTTTTGGTACTTAGTACTTATACTTAAGTACTTTCATTACTGAACACTTAGTACTTATACTTAAGTACATTTTTTGAGTACTTACGTCATCACTGGTTTAGATGGGGTAAAACGCAAAGCCCTCAATGCCCTCTCTGTGACTCTCGACAGACAAATAAGCACGTAGTTTCCAATTGTGGTTCTACATCCACTCTGGCAAGATATGCCGAAAGACACAAGATATTAGCCGTGATCATCAATTGGCTGAAAATATCCTCTTCAGCCAATTGCCGCATATTTGCAGATTTAGAGTCTGAGGGTATTCGCCCAATATCCCAATATCTTATTCAACACTTTACGACCCGATATCGCCATACTTCAAAATAACAAAATTGAGATTCTAGAATTAACTGTGCGCCATGAAACCAACCTAGAATCCTCTAGGCATTACAAGAGAAATAAATACTCTAATAATTTACACTGTTGTTTAAATAAAGACTATAAACATTGTTCACTAGTTATAAATTCATTCAAAATAACGCCTATTGGTTTTTACAATAATTTTAATTTGTCACTGTTTAAAGTTCCATGGCCGCTATCATTTAATGATAAATTGATAAAGACTTTTATAAGGTTATCGTATGACATTTATTGTGACAGGAACAAGCTATGATGCTAATTAGATATATTTTACCGTTCTGCACTTAACTTCACAATGAGCAAAATGGTCTTAACCTTTAATATTATTTTATACAATTTTTACAAATTTTATCATTGCTCATTATTTAATAAACATTAACTTATATATATATTTTTATCATTGTATGTTTTTTATGGTGAAAATAAAAGATGTTTCCGTTATTATTATTATATTATTATTATCAACTTTGCTACTAGTTTTAGCAAATTATCTACTCTTATTTTGCTAAAAATTACGGCTTTGTGAAAATTCAAACAACAAATAATTTAAAAACAGAATACTCGATTAGACAGTTAAAAAAAGAGCTAAAACAACAAAAGGCAAAAAACAGCAACAATCTCTGCAACAGTCAAATATCAAATCTAAGTAGATTAATTCGAATTAGATTAAAAACACAAACTTCAAAATTAACCAACAAAAATGTTAGCGGCTCAACTACATCACAATTCAATAACAATTTCTGGAAGTCATGCAAATCATCATTTTCTTCATCTCCAAATACACCTCCTCAATTCAGTGTGGTCGACGCCAGCAACTTCTATCGCAAAGGATTGATAGCGGATAATAAAACTTCTTTTGAATTGCCGGAGTGGATTCCTCCTCTACCGCCACCGTCATTCGCTGGTGACACTGGACTACCATTCTACAATGAAGTTGCGTCAATTGTTAAAAAATGCAAGGCCAAAGCAACGCCCTGTCCGTTAGACCGAATTTCAACAATTGCGCTGAAGAGGTGTCCAATACTTCGCACGTATTTTCACAAAGGAGCCAATTTTTGTTCCATAACGTTGCAGCCAGTACTCTACAAAATTCTATCAACGTTACTAAAAAATAGATTATATGATTTCCTCAACAAAAACAAACTCATTAATACAAACACGCAAAAAGGATTCTACCCAACAACCGATGGTCTGGCGGGACACACCCAGATGTTGACTAACTTGATGAAAGATGCAAAGAGACATCAACGCACAATAATCATCGCGCTACTGGATCTTGTTGCGAGTTTCTTTAGATATAAGAAACAACAAGTAAGAATGTTTATAACGTATTTATTTAATACAATACAAAATACAAAATAAATGAAAACGTGTTTTCATTGTTGTTCGGCAATGCAATTAGACAAAGAGAAGTTCGATCGTTAAATGTCGCAAGAATAAGGGCTGTTGTCTTTGTGTTGAAGCTATATATAGTAATTCGTCACATGCTTAAATTAGGGATGTGCGGTTCAACAATATTCCCCTACCAGATCATCAGCGCAAGCTGTTGATCAATGCTAATCAAGATATCGAGATGGGAGGTGAACTGTTCTTCCCGATCTTGTGGTTCTCCGGGGTGATGGAATGTTGGTGTCGATGGATCGATTTGGGTGTGCTTGTGTCGACGTAGATGTTTCTGTTGTTGGCATGTCCTCGTCCGTTGATGGAGATAGCGTTGACGTTTTTGTTGATGCTGATGTGTCGTTCGACGACGGAATTAATTTTGTTGAAGGTGTTGTAGAAGGTGGTGTTGGCGCTGTGGTCGTTGGCATGGGTGACGGTATCGACGGTGCCGGTGAGTATGCGGGTTTGAGGCGGTCTATTGCCACCGTGTCCCTATGCCCCTTTTTGTCAATGACGAAATATTTTGGGTGTCGTTCTACCACTGAAGGGTCCCTCGTATGGAGGTTTTAGTGGTGAGCGGTGAGTTTCCGTACGAATAAAAACCTGTTCTGTAGTGAAGAGGTCTTTTGGAATGTAACTCACATTTGTACTTGTTCTTGGTTGTGTTGCTTTTAGGGTCTTCGCCCAGCATTTGAGTTTTAATGCATAGGTATGTACATCGGTTGTCTCTGGCCGTGGGTTTGGAAAATCTCCGGGAAGGCGGAGTGTTGTGCCGTAAACAAGTTCTGCTGGTGACAACTTTAGGTCTTCCTTCTTCGTTACACGAATGCCTAATAGTGTCACTGGTAATACATCCGTCCATTTGTCTGAACCGTGAGCCATAAGTGAGGCCTTAAGCTGTCTATGCAATCGTTCCACCATACCGTTGGCTGCTGGGTAGTAGGCGGTGGTGTGAATATGTTTAATGTTTAGTAACTGGGTGAATCTCTTGAAAGAAAAAGATGTGAACTGGCTGCCTCTGTCTGTTGTAATGGTTTCTGGGACTCCATACTAGAAGTCTACGCGGGACACATTTCTATTCCCTCACCCGCCCCTCCTGAAAATAAATTTTACCTCACCCGCACCCATTCCCTCACAAGTCTTCCCTCACCCGCACTCATTCCCTCACAAGTCTTCCCTCACCCGCACCCATTCCCTCACAAGTCTTCCCTCA